CACTCAAATATCTTTTCAATTGTATTAGTAAACATTTAATTATGATTATTATTGTTTTGGCATCTAGCCAAGTCTGGCTGCTTATTGATGTGTTGTCCCTGGTAAATGTTGCTCTGTGTTCTAATTTTCTATCACATGGAGTGCAAAGCTAGAAATTGACCTTGGAATATGAAGTTCAAGCCCTGGATAGTGTCTCTACATGATTCTAAACCTAATTACTGTAACCCGTTTAATTTTCTCTGCTAGGGATTTTCGCGAGTTAATTACTTCTTGCCATTCACGCAGGCAAAATTTTGTGAAAGCTGCCAACCCTGGTGTCGTAGGACTCCACAGAAATTTTTACTACTACTACAAAACTTCACTTGCAAAACTCACGAAACTTTGTCATGTGAAATTAAAGCAGTTTCATAATTACTTTATCAAATGTATTTTCTTGCTAGTAAAATGTAATAATTATTGAAGTAAGTCAAATACTATTATCAGTTTTGAAGCTGAAAAATTGAATTGTTTGATATATCCGGGAATCATCTCGTAATTTGACGATTTCAGTGCTGGAGGCTGTACCAAAGTGTGTGAAACTTTTGTTTTCTCCCTCTTGTCGGTAGATTCTTTCTTGCCGAGATTCTCACTGTTTGAAATACATTTGTATTACCATAGTTTCAACAGTTGCAACTTGCATCTCAGTTCAACAACCTTAAAAAAAAATTGCAAAATTGTAGCTGTCACCCGTGATGAGTTTCATCCAGCTACGGGTCTGTCCAATCTCCCTTGAAACTTTCAGTATGGTGAAAATAACACGGCCACTTTTCAACAGAGCGTTGATTGTGGAACCCTTTCAAGTCAGCGAAGAAAGATAGACAGGCAAAGTGGGCTTATTCACTCAACTTACTAAACTCTGACAATGCCATGCTATGAACAGTTTGTAAGCGTTTTGCATTGGAAATATCTCTTCCGAAAAGTCATTAGTTGGTTTGCGAAAGGTTATGCGATGACCCAAATCTTTTTTCAAAGCAACGCAATACTTGTGCAGTTTTGCTGCCTATAATGCCCTCTGATATGCAGACTTGGGTGCTTGTTTGGAACCTGACCTGAATTACAGTCTCATCGCTTCACATAACTTTTGAGGTCACCTATTCAGCATCTATCAAAAGAACTTTGAAGTCGGACCCAGGCGTCGGTGTTGGGTAGGAAGGAAAATACCGTTTATACAGTTACTCTATACGGTGTAAAAATATTTTGAAAGCTTTGCAGGGTACAATCAGTTTTGGAAGCAAAACCTATACAAATACGTGCTTGCCTTAAGAACGACTTAGCAGTTGTATTTTTACAACTTACCATAAGGTGGGGTGGGCTTACCTCAGAGCATGCCATTATGTAATTTGGATCAGCCTGTGTCAGCGGTGTTTAATTTCAATGGACTTTTGGTTTCCAGGGTACATTGAAATTTTTCTTTTCATCATGATCTTTATGCCTTAATGCGTGTTAATTTAATTATTTTCCCTGCAATTGTAAATGTATGCAACCACCTCACCTCAGCTTGTTCATTTCAGAATTTAATACTCAATTGAGCTATTAAAAAAATTCAATACTGGATCTGTACTTGGACACTGGTTCTCTTGAACCCAATGTTGCCAAGGTCACCAAGCAGTAACTTGTGATCACGTAAATACAATAATTTCCTAATCAGGTGGTTAGTTCTCTTTGCAGTCCACAATTATAGGAATTTCCACTCAAAAAGGCTGGGTTTCTGTTATACAGCATATTTAACTTCTGCCTGACACA